AGTGGATATAATGATTTAGTGAATGGCATATTTAGTCAGTGAGTGGATATAATGATTTAGTGACTGGCATAATTAGTCAGTGAGTATGAATGGTTTTGTACATGGATATAATCAGTCACTGAGTGGATATGCTACACTGAATTGATACAGTGAATGGCATGTTTCAGTGAGTAGATATAATTCTGTGCATGGATATAATGATTTAGTGAATGACACAACAAATCATGGTGGATATAAGGATTTATCAAATGTTTTAATAATCTAGTGAATAGAATGTAATAATCTAGTGAATCGGTACAATGATTGAATGCGTAATGGTATAGTGAGTGGACAAAATGATACAATGAGTGAATATATTTATTCAATGAATGTACGTGTAATATTCATATAGTTACTTAATTCTTCATGCATGCATATTGCAAATAAATTATACAGCCTTTTTATGCAGCTGGTTTCTCTAGTGAACATGAAAAAACCTTAATTTACTGAAAAAAACTAACTTAGACAGCCATTAGATATATAAACATGGGTTCACAAGTAATGATAGCCCCCCCCCCCTCCCATATTGGTAAGAATTTGTTGCCTTGGAAAGCACACTACCTGTGGTCACGTGATCTTCAGTGTTTCCAGACCCTTCCACCAAGGGGCATATACAAATAATTCACACACCGCTAAACAATAGAAATAGAACATGCCATCACCCCCGTACAGGTGTTTATTGGACCAAGTGTCAATAGTAACAATGCTATAACAATACTATTGTACTCTATTGTAAGGTAGCACAATGCCATGGGTATAACTTGGAAGAGTTGTCAGGTGCCAATTCAATTCATGCGCACTCTGCATTCGTATGAATGAATGAGCTAGGTCAATATGACCCCAATGCATTTATTAGCGAGAAGTCAACAAAATTGAGTGCGCTTCAACACATTGATGGCATTGACATTGGTCTACAATGCCTCACTGTGAAATTGTGTTCTAGAGTTGTTAGCATTGATCAGTTTCTACAAGACCATTCATGGGCAGTGGCTTACAAATATACTACATTAGGGTTATATATGCACCCGAGTATTTTTTCATACACTGAGGAGATACTGTTTCGTTTAAGCTAGCTATGGCAATGAAGATTAAAAAACTGCAACTAAAATATGTTAAATTGATTGACTATATTGCACAGTATAGAGTACAAGTATGAAGCAGTCTTTTGAATTTGACAGAGAATTGTTTTTACATATGCACTGCCGAATTCACAAAAACACCTGTTGCTAAACAGTAATAGGAAAGCATGCAACTACACCGCTGTATGGCTAAATTATTTTTCAGTTTTTGTTTTTTTTTCAATTTCAGGGAAAATAATTTTATTCAGGCATGCTTAAATACTTTTTGTACAAACTATATCAAAACAGAAGTGTGCAAACTATGAAAATTTCACAAAATAAAATGAAACAGATTTAGCCATGAAGTCACACTGCAGAATTTTACACTAAACATACTGCATAGTGATCTCATAACAGTTATGAACTGCAAAGTTTTAAAACAACAATAAGAGCACTTTTCTTACAATTTTCAGGATGACTTTGCAAATGAGGACGAAGAAGTGATTCCCAGTAAAAGAGAATTGGAGAAGGCGTGACAGTTGATGAATGGTTGCCATATTATGACAAGCAGCTGATTTGCATATTAATGTTGAACCACCTGGCGAAAGAACACTGACCAATAAGCTGTGACTAATTAATTTATGAGAGCAATGGGTCCTAGAAGTCAGTGTCTGGTAGCCTTGATGTTGGACTTGTGTGGTTCATACAGATTTTTTGTTGTTGGATAAATTTGTTAAAGCGGGGAGTCGTCCCCTGCGCATGCATCAGTTGGCCATAGCATGTCATCGTAACAAACAAGTGTCTACCCATGAGCCTTTGCATTTTTAGCATGTGTAGTTATCGTCACTTGGGACTCAATTCCTGTGCGTGCACAGGTGACAACCCTCTCGCTTTAAAGAAGACTACTACCGGTATAAACATACCCATAATAATTCATCAATTGATAATGGATATGAGGATAATATGAAATCCATATGTAATGAAGATTTCCTTGTGAGTTTCATGCGCACATCAATTGAACCATCCAACCAATGGCATCCAATAAATGCAATAGTCACATGGTAAGCAAGGTTATCACCTTATTCAAAAATAGCAAGAACACATTAGACCAACAACAAAAAAATCTGTTCTTGGTCCAAGATTGCTTGAAAGAATTATGTGGTGATGTTTTCTCAATGCACAGTTGTAAACCTTTTAATCGTTTTATTTATATTACATTTATTTTCTTCCTCATGTGCATGAACTATTTTAAATTTATGTGAACACCGACTTGTATTCTCAGTGACACTCAATTTTAAGAAATGTACATCTGTTATGCGATTTTGTGATTACCTCACACATGTCATATTACACCAGTTGCTGACCCTTATCAATTTTTTTTCTGTTTTATGAGTTTGTAGGGTTTTGAGCATGTAGCATTTACACGCAATTATCGCATTACCAAGTCAAGATGAAGTCATTGTGGTATCATTTTAAAGAAAAGTTGGCACCACATTTGTTCATCTTTATTGGAGACGGGGTCTTAGCATGTTCAAAAAGATTCTTCATATAAATACACGATGTTTTCTATACAAAGATGACGCCAGTACAGCAACAAAGTTCTATTTTAAAACGGTAAATCCGTAATGATATGAATTAGCTCCAATTTGGTTTACCCAAATTACTAACTTAATCTCAATTTGCAATTATCCAAACTAATTTAACCATGACTCAATGCTTCAGGCAATAAGGCTTCTATTGTAAGTAGTTAACCGCTTTGCATAAAATACTCTGTTTCTTTGTGAGTGATTTGTTGATGATATTGCCAAGCGGTTAAATAAATACGAAAACTTTCCATTGACCTTGGCGATTGAACTTCAAGAACATGATTATTTAGACACCAAAATCTGTATTTTAGTTGCTATGGAAACAAGAACATTTGTTTGATTTCATTTCATAGAGCAATTTACATACTACGAACTGAAATTTTTTTTAATGTAATTTTTAAATAAACAAGAAGTATTTAAATATGACAGAAGAATAAATTGTCTCTTGTCTTATCTTGTGCATATAAAAGGATAGTTTGTACAAACAAGCGTCTGTTTCTGTTCCCACTCTATCAGAAAACTGGTTCTATTCCCTGTGAACAGCGCCCCAATGATTTATCTCTCTTCTTGTGATAAATGGTATTTTATGATGTAACTTTATAGATGAAAATAGATTAAATATGCAAATAAAATATCCTACATTTCCAATTTCTGTATTTGTATAATTCTTGGTCATGTGACACATTGTATAGTCTTTAGTTGGTTTATCCCTGTAAATCTGCACTTTGTGACTTCGTAAATCAAGCATTTGTATATATTCATTTGAGTATTGTAAATCTTATTTGTATTACAAAAGCACCCCAATAAATCTGGATTGTAAATAGACCACATTCTGCAACCTCGCCAAGGTCAGACTTCTTTCTCGACTAGTGCAAAAAATGGCTAGACAGTAACATGCTCTTCATATACAGAGAGAAAAAGATAGTCTTATCTCAGCAGATTTGGTTGAAATCGCAGTGCAAATAAATGAAATCCAATAGTGCTTTTGATGTCATGCACCATTACTGAAATAACAAAATGTACAATAAACCATTTTGTTTTTATGTACATGTAAATTAACCATACAGCTAAGTGGAGAATAATACTTATTCATATTCTTATATTTTAGTTTTCTTATTTTTTGTTGTTGTTGCTACTTTTAGATGTCTTTTGTTGTTGTTATATTTTGTTATCTTAGTTCATGTAACTTAATTTCTTTTTGTCTATCAAAAGTTTTTTTTTTTTTATCCATAAGTCTTTGAGTGAAATGTATTTTTTATTTGGTTTACATAGTGAGCCCCTGTTACAAAAGGGATGCAATAAATAAATAAATAAATAAATAAATACTTTTCATTTTTTTTTATTTTGTTGCAGTATGAATAAAATATTATCACTCCTGGTTGTGTTTATGGTTAAACATGTACTAATAATACTAATAATAATCTTCATTGCATTTTTTTATTTTTATTAGAATTTTGATTAAAATGCAAAAAAAGTCAAAATTAACAAACAAAATAAGAAAAGAAAAAAAGCTGACAATAAAGTACAAATAAAAAAAAAGAATTGTTTATAATATTTTTGTTGGTGAAATATTCTCTAATGTTACTTCCTCCTGTAGACAGAGAAATCAAAAACTATGACCAGAAGCTTTCTTTTTTGTTCTGGGTCATATTGTCTACTATTGTGTTGAATGTGCAGAGACATATATTTTTGTAATTAAAAAAAAATGAAATTTCATTATTTTGATATAGAGAGCATATTCATTTATATTTTAAATACTCTGAGTTCTGATTTATATCTACATGTTTACATGAATGTAATTTAGCAGGTTTTACTTGAAAAATGGCATTGTATTGCATCACACAAAATCCAGTCTTACTCTTATCTGATGAATCCAGTTATTTCTAATCGTGCAAACACCGACACAATTCTGAAATACAATTGCGGGAGTGTATACAGCTTTCATTTCTGCAAACATTGCCCAGAGTACCAGATATAAAATTACAAAATGTCATTGGCTTTAATGAGAAGGCGACTGGAACTAAAATAGATTCTATTCGAGGATTTCATTACTGGCGATAGCCTCTTCACAACAGAGTGTAAACCAATATCTTAACTTCTCGATACTTGGCAGCCAATCGGACAAGCAACAATACAAGCATTTGTGTGCTGTGTGTTGAACCCAGCATAGACTTAGTACTGTTACACCTGTTTGGTTTACTATACTACCACTGAGTTTTTACGCTGTTTGCATTGGCAGCTATGCGTGGATGGCCAATTCAGTCAGAGGTGGTGACAATGCACATCGCTGAATTGTATTCTCTTATCTGTCAGTGTTCTGGAGTGGACTTGAGGATTGTTGGCGTGTACAACAACAGTTGCTGTCAAATCAAGATTTTGATTCAATATATAACACTCTTCGTGGCTATAAGTGTTCGTAGGACACTGGTTCTAGTGGTTATTTTCTGGTATTTGTTCTATTAAAAGGGAGTCTCCAGGAGAAGTGGATACTGAAAACAATATAACAGTCTTTTTAGAAGCGTATCAATTTTCACATCTGTTTTGACAGCATTTATAGATGTGGTTGTATAGAGCAAATACAGTACATTAAACTTTTGTAAACATTTATTTACAAACTTATTAATTTTCTATTTTGATGATTTACCATCTCCCTGTAAAGTACATACATAAAAAATACCTAGTAGTATGAATGTATATATGTATGATTTGAATCTGTATTTAAAAAAGTTTCCATCAAACAAAAATCCCATAAAATGTTAAAAATAGTGGCTCTTGTGATTTTTCTATTGTGTTAAGCGACAACATAAATGCCATATACTGTAAAATGACTAATTTTCACTGGGTTTAAATTTCGCTGATTTAGCATTTCAGGCATATTCAATGGGTTTTAAATTCACAGTTTTATCTTTTAGATAATGTGTTCTATGCTTAATTTTACATATTCACTGGGTTTTAATTTAGCACATTTTCCAGTCAGCGAAATAAGCAAAATTAAAACCCAGTGAATAATTAACCCCTTTACAGTAAGTCAAAAATTACTTGTTGGCGAGTATATTTTTTTTATTATTATTTGGTCAACAATAGATTTAAAAAAAAATAGACCCCAACAAATTTTAATAATATATGAATTCATGTCAGATATTTGAAGTTATCAAAAATGAGAATGATATTCTATGATTAATCCAGGCTTTTTCTTTAATCTGAAATAACATAGTATGAACATTTTTGTTTTCTTAACAACTTGTATAAATACATGTTTGTCCAAAGTCAACATTAGTTTTTGTCGATACATGTAGTGCAGTTTGTTACCTTCGATTAATAGTACTATATTCACCGAAAATAAAATCAACTTTAGAGGATAATAAAATAAAAAAATAATTCCCATAGGAAAAGAAATAATTTGCAGTTTTTTTTTGTTTAAATGTAACTAAAAACAAGTTGTGAAAGTTGGCAGTTTGACAACCAGCGAATAAAACGAATGCTCATCAATCAATACAACCAGTATTCTATTATGTTGTTAATCCTACACTTTTTTAACAACTGTACCAACATACATACAAAGAGTTCAAAGGTCAGTAACCCTCTTTTCCCCCTATCACACAGAACTACACGACTATTATGGACATTTTTTTTTTAACTTGGCTACCTTTGATCGGTGGTATGTCCGGGTATTGTTCCGTTATTTTGACAATGTTGTCATGAATTGGTTTTAATGTGACTGACATTTTGACAATTCAAATCAATAATTCACTTTAAACGATGGACCATTAACTCTGAGGGGGAGGGGGAGGGGGGAAAACAAATCTGCATGCAGGATCAGTACACGCTCGAGGCAGTAAAAAAAAATACCGTTACAAGATAAATGACAAAATTAGTAGCCTGAAAATTTAAACCCGGCAATGCCATAGAATATAATGATATATTGGCATGGTGATGTATTAGTTGGTTTCACTTTGTCGATTTATGGCATGTGTAAAAATCAATTAAAGATAGGTATTTTTGGCAGCAACTATTCCCTGTGAGTGGCTGTTTGAAAGTTTTGAGGTTATTGAACTGCTTTTTTTAGCTCCTGTGTGTGTGATGCACACAGGGGAGGTAATGAGTTTGGTGTGTCCATGTGTCTGTAAAGCAAAGTTTAAAAAAATTCACAATGGTTTTAAATCAAATTTGCTATATATTGGTGCTGTACAACTGCAGAGAAGGTGAGAATTACATTAGAGAACGCTATACATACTGATTTACATATTCAAATTGGAGGCAATGACTTTGGGGTTTGAATTTCTGTAAAAGGAGAAATACTCACTAGGTTTAATTTTCACAAGTTTGATGTTGCCGAGATATTCACTTGGTTTGTGTAGGCAAAAACTAATTCTATTGTTGAAGGGCGGTGGTTGTCGTGCCGTGTCCTGTTTGATATAGACCCTATAGCGATGTACACAATATGTGTAGAAAACATTGTTTATATGAATTTCAACATGCTCTGTACTTCAACCAGTGCCCTTTAACTTTGCATATTTGCACTTTGACTAGCACATACAGCTACCATTATAATAGCAAAAATAAAATCAAAGAAAGCTTAGAAACAACTCTTGTGTGCTGAAGGTATTGGAGGCATGAAGTACAAACATGGAATACTGTATTTACCATATTAGAATAACATCTTCAATACTTATATAAGGCAAAAATTGTGTACATGTATATTGCATGCAGAATTATTAAAATATGTCTTATTTTGATTGTCCTTTATATTTACAGTGCACATGTGCTTCTAATAAAACAAATACAGCAATTAAAAGGCAATTATTAGGGTGGTTCCAAGTAGCCTCATATATGGTTTAACAATTATAAATATTTAATGAAATAACAACCATATATGATGACTTAATATTTTGGTCATATATTTTGTCAGACATCAAAATTATAGCACCAGTTGCTTGTCCCTGTCTGCAACAGTATTTCAGATATTACAGTTATGCATATTATTGAGGTCACATGACCATATATAGTCATCTGATACATTAGTCATATCACATTGTCAGATACCTTCATTATAGCACTGGTTACATGTCTGCAGCAGTGCTTAGAACATTACAGTTATGCTTATTAAAAAGTATACATGAACCTATTTATACTAAGTAGGTAATTAATTTGCATGGATTTCAACCTTGAAGTACAATAATCAAATCTATGGATTACCCCATGTACCTGGCAAAGTTAAATATTGGCTGATTAATATACAAATTAGATCATTAATATACATACCCAAAACTAGTCAGGCCTGGGCATTATCCCAGAGCATTTATGTACCAAGTTTCATTACAATCTGATGACTAGTTCTTGAGATATCAGAGAAACAGACAGACATACACACACATGCACTAACCGCAAGTACTCCCATTGCATACTTCGCCCATGGGAAACAACTAGGGAAGAATAATCAAGCCCTATAATAACAGTATGATATTGAGAGAGGTCTTTGCTAGCTTGTATCACTTATTTGCATCTTTAGGGTCAATTAAAAAAATGTGGGTAGGGGTATT